ATTTTATTATTTATATTATATTTAACTTTATAATGCTATAACTTATTGAAAAGTTTATGGATCCACACAATTTTTTTATGAGAAATAATATTTTTTAATAAACCTTTTTTCATTCGACATACTTTATCTTAATCGAGATATTAATAAGGAACCAGCAGATCAAGTAGCTTTTGGAATAAAACACTAATTTTTTTAAAATTTAACACTATCTAAAGATTTGCATCGAAGCGTTTATTTTTGATAGTGATTTTAATCACTGTCAGATATCATTTAGTTGATCCGACTATGCCACGTCACCACTGTGCCGCGACCCCCCTGTGCTGGGTTTTTTTTTATAACTGTTAAATAAAATGTAAAAAATTAATGTACATAATAAATACGTTTCTATAGAACCGCGCCTTTTTTTAATTTATCTTTAATTTACCAAAACAGTCAAGAGTGCTTAACTAAATATTTTCATTGGCCTCTAAATGACTATCAGTTTTTTTATTTTATTATGTAATTACAGATCTTAAATTAATGTTTGAGTCATCAATTGCTATGATATATATAGCTAAAAAAAATGACTATCTAACATTACTGTCACTTTATAGACATAATAAAAGTAAAAAAATTATCAGAAGACAATAGGTTATTATAATTTATTCAATCGACCCGTGCATAGTCTTGTGGCAGTTAAATCAATAATTAACCGACTCGCTTAATGAGTAATAATGTTTATTAATAAACACTGTAAGATATACAAAAAGAGTATAAAATAGATCGCGAGCGTAGATCCGAAACTCGAAATTCAACTAAAATAAAAAAACTGACCGACTAGTACGAAGCCGCTCCAGTATCATATATATAAAAAGGCCCAGCACTCACTAACAACTTAAATAAATTTGATTCAGATAATATTTTTTCCTTATTATTTTAATAATAGAGGTGTAATGTATAGAAGTAATAAACACTTTTACGATTTAATAACAACTATACTATATTACAACGAACTAACAAATAACAAATAACAGCGAGAGACGAACTGTATTACAACGAACTAATAAATAACAGCGAGAAACGAAGCGCGTGTAAGACAGAATGCGTAAGTGATTGACTGATCGACTGACTGACTGGAGCGACGATCTTGCCCTTAAATAGTCAGAGGAATCTTCTAGAGGCGGCGTCGGAACTCTCTAGACATTCGACCGCCACACGCTTATGTAGAGCGACGAATCTTCTAGAGGCGGCGGCGGCCGGACATTCTAGAATATTCGACCGCCACACCACCCCCCTACGGAGTGGAGTTAGCTAGGGTCAAAAATGTCCGGGAATCTGACTCGGCGGCCTGAGCGAGTTGTTCGTACTGGCTGTGTTGATGGATCGGTATTAGGCGGTTGTTTCTGTTTGGTCGTATCCGGGGCAGTTGCTGGTGGAGCATGTGCCTGGCTAACGGTTGTGCTTTCGTTCACCATGAGGTAGGCAGGTTTTACTCTATCAATCGTCACCGTAACTGATTGATTTCGAACTTTTATTGTGAACGTTTTGTCATTTCGGGCAATTACTTCGAAGGGACCTTGATATGGCGGTTGAAGTGCTGCTCGGACACCTCCCTCCCTGAGAAATACGTGTGAACAGTCCTTAAGGTCCGCAAAAACAAATGATCGTGGATTTGAGTGGCGAGATGCAGGTACTGGACGAATTTTATTCATAACACTGCGAAGACGATCTAGTAAGCTAGTAGGGTCGTTCGTACTGCTATTATCTTGCTTGTCTGTGAAGAAATCACCAGGAAGATTAAGAGGCTCACCATAAACAAGTTCCGCAGACGTGGCTTTTAAGTCTTCCTTAAACGCAGAACGTATTCCGAGAAGCACGATAGGCAGTGACTCAGTCCACGAGTCTTTTGCGTGGGCCATGATGGCTGCCTTTAGTTGTCGGTGCATTCGTTCGACGAATCCGTTTGCAGCAGGATGCCAACTGGTAGTGGGGCGAAGCGTAAAACCAAAACGTTTTGCTAAAGTTTTTAAAGTAGCTGAAACAAACTGAGTACCACGGTCAGTCGTAACGTATTGAGGTACTCCGAAGCGTGAAATCCAGCAATTGAGGAAACCCTTAGTGACATCATCTGCTGTTATACGTTCGAGTGGATACACCTCCGGCCAACGGGTGAAACGGTCGATTACCGTCAGACAGTACCTAAAGGACTGTGATGGCGGCAATGGACCGATGATATCGACATGAACATGTTTGAATCGGCGTGAAGGTGTTTCAAAGTTTCCCAGTGGGGCTGAGACGTGTCGGCTTATTTTCGATCGCTGACAGTGGACGCAGGCACGTGCCCAGGAACGGCAATCCTTTTTCATTGCTGGCCACACAAATCGTTCTGAAACTAAGTGAGCTGTTGCGCGTGCACCGGGGTGACTAAGGTTGTGTAACTGATCAAATGCGTGACGCCGGAATCGTTGTGGCAAAAATGGTCGTGGGCGTCCCGTTGACGTGTCGCAATAAATATAGGCTGAAGATCCTGGCACTAGTACCTTCTCCAAATGAAGAGATGAATTGTTGTCAGTAAAATGTTTGAGTTCATCATCCGTGTCTTGAGATGCAGCAAGAGCTCGGTAGTCCAGCGGGAGAGACACAACTTCAATGCGTGACATTGTATCCGCGACGATATTTTCATCACCTTTAATGTGTTGAATGTCGGTGGTGAATTCGGATATGAATGTCAACTGGTTGAGTTGCGTAGGAGGTATCTTTTCTCTCCGTTGGGTGAAAGCATATACGAGTGGCTTATGATCGGGAGTCAACCTGTGAGAACCATAAGCTCGGTCTTTCGGACCAGAAAGGTGGCAACTTGACGGCAACGCGATTCACTGAAGCTGTTGGATATTGCTGTGCCTGTAGTGCTGCAAGGCGAGCGTTTTCTTGGCGTAACTCCTCCAATTGATTGCGTAGTTCTTCGGCGTTCATACTTGTTATCGTCGAGGTCACCAATGTAGCGAGGTGTAATGTATAGAAGTAATAAACACTTTTACGATTTAATAACAACTATACTATATTACAACGAACTAACAAATAACAAATAACAGCGAGAGACGAACTGTATTACAACGAACTAATAAATAACAGCGAGAAACGAAGCGCGTGTAAGACAGAATGCGTAAGTGATTGACTGATCGACTGACTGACTGGAGCGACGATCTTGCCCTTAAATAGTCAGAGGAATCTTCTAGAGGCGGCGTCGGAACTCTCTAGACATTCGACCGCCACACGCTTATGTAGAGCGACGAATCTTCTAGAGGCGGCGGCGGCCGGACATTCTAGAATATTCGACCGCCACATCTTTATAATTACATTAAAAAATTGTAATTTTAAAAATTTACGAGAAATGTTAAAAAAAATTTAAAATAGCCATTTTTAGAATAAATTTTAAGAAATAATTTGGTAAAAAAAAATGTTCTTTAATGTTTTATAGTTAATTTTCTGTAACATTTAAAATTTTATAAAAATTCAAAATTTTCTATATTTATTCTACGGTATCAAACGCTGGTTATGTTTTATAAAAAATGGACAAAAGTAAACGCAATCTTTTCACACTAAATATGATATGTGTATGAATTTTTCCATGAAAATTGTTAACGTTCTAATGACTTGCTTTAATTCAAATAAAAACATAATACCTATTAATTCTTCTAACTAAAATTAGAATTTATTTATCACGAGTCAAAATTTATATTATACTAAGTATGAGGTCTATTATATTTACAAACTTGGTATTAATACGATGATAAGATATTTAATAAGGCAATTATTACTTATCACTCTCATTCAAAAGCGTAAGTAATTTTAATGGAAAAAGTTACACACCCCCAAATTATAGTAATCATGAAAAAATATTGTTTTCTTCTGTTCTTTTCTCAACACGTATTTCAATGTTTAATAAAGTAAAATAATACATGAAAATTCAAAATTTTACAAACTTTAAAATGCTATAGAAAATTTATTACTGAATATTAATAAGATGTTCTTTTACCAAAATTGTTCTTAAAATCTACTCTACAAAACAGTTATCTTAGATTTCTTTTTACATTTTATTTAAATTTTTAAATTAAAAAAAATTGATTATTTTTAAATAATTTTAAATCATTTTTTTGGTGAGAACACTCAACAAAGTTAATAAAAAAAAATACGACTTTTGTAAATAAATTCGTTTTTATATTTTTAACTTTATAATGACTTTTTGAAAAATGTATGGATCAACACAATTTTTTTGAAAGAAATAATATTTATATACCTTTTTCATTTTACATACTTTTTTTTTTAAATCGGACCATTTCCCTGTATATAAATATATAAAGGTCTAACATTCTATTCTATTTGTTGGACCGCCACACCATTCCCCTACGGAGTAGAATTAGCTGGGGTCAAAAATGTCCGGGAATCTTATATGGTGGCCTGAGTGAGTTATACGTTCTAGTAGTGTCGATGGATCGGTTTTTGGCAATTTTTGTTGATAGACCGTATGCAGAGCAGTAGCTGGTATTACATGGTCATAGTTGTCAGTTAGGGTTTCATTCGTCAAGAGATGGGCGAGTTTTACTCTATTTCAATCGTAACTGTAACTGGTTGATTTAGGATATTTTTTGTAAAAGTCTTGTCATTCCAGGCAAGTACCTCGTAAGGGCCTTGATAGAATGGTAGTAGTGCTGCCCGGGCCCCTTCCTCTTTGAAAAATACTTGTGAACAGTTTGTTTTAGCGGGCTTCGAGGTTCGCGAAAACAAACGATCGTGGGATCAAGTGACGAGATTTGGACTAATTTTACTCATAATAATACAAGACGGTCGAGTAAACTAGTAGTGTTTTTCATAGTGTCATTTTTTTGATTATGTATACATAATCAAATAATTGACTTCAGAGGACGTGATCTTTAAGTTTTCCTTAAGTGATTAACGTATCCCAAGAAGAACGATGGGTACCATCGTTAGACCACTAATCTTCGGCGTGCACCATGACATGATTGCTGCCTTTAATTGTCTATGTATGCATTTTATGAATCCGTCTGCAGCAGGATACCAGCTAGTTAATAGCGTCAATTTACCTTAATACATAAAATTTAATGATTTAATCGGCCTTGAGCGACTAAATATTGAATTGTTCAAATAACAATTTTGCTGGAATATACTTGCACGGCTAGTTATTATAGGGAAAAATTATTACAATTAAGATAATTTAATTTTACACTGTAATAGCGCTATTTAAATTAGATTAATATTTTAAATATTGATCATACCACCAATATCAAAATTTATTTTCTTTTTTACGTTTTTCATGTCAATAGTAAAATTTAGTTTGTAATACGGTAAGATATTTTTTATATTAAATACTTAGTCAATAGGTAATACAATTTCATTGTTTTTTAAGCTTTTTAATTACTTTTATAGGTAGGGGACTGAGAGTCTAGATTCAAGGTAGACATGTGTAAGGAAACGAACCCCACTCCATTTATTTTAGGACTTTTAACAAGTCCTTTGTTTTTTTCAATCACTAATAATTTGTGATCAATTATTAAAATTCAAAAGGTAATTGTTAGGTGACATTTTTAAAAACCATGAGAATCTACACAAATTGTATGCCTAAACATAGTAGCTATAATACAAATTGTCATATTGTTGCTTAAGAAAACAATTTTTAACCAAAAATATTTCTACATGAAAAATGGCAATTAATTGACATTATTTATATATTAATAAAAATGTATTATTATTTTAATAATTAGCAAGCAATATAAAATAAAAATAACATTATTTGGTTTTGATATTTTGATTATAATACAACAAAATAAGTATTATAAAGATAATAAAATTACATTATTTTTTTAAATTACCTTCTAATTTTCAATTATTATCTAAGATATCCATGGCCAACTTTTTACTTAATAACATTATATTTTCATGAAAATACATTTTTTACAATTATTTAGAAAACACCATCTATGATTTTAAAAAATAATATAGTTAATATTTGTGAAAAAGATATTAAATTTTTGAAAAATATTTTTATAATTATGATTGATTATTATCATTAGAAAAGCCATTCTGTGGGGGCTGTCCTTCATTTTGAGCATTTTGAAATTGCATACGAATACCATCAAGTAAATTTGGATTGGATGTTTGTAAACGTGAAACAATAGTTTGTCCACTAGAACATAGAAATAAATAAACAAAATTTAAAAACAATGCTTAAAGTTAAATATTAATCATAAAGAAACATAATCCATGTGTCTGTACCAAAAATGAAAACTATTTACTTTTAAAATAACATATAAAAAGTATAATGTACTTTGATTTATTATAACAAAACATATGATTTTAATATTTTTATTAGTTGAAAATTTCAATGTATTAATATGATTAACATTTTTTAAATTCTAGGAAAATACTTTAATATTTAAAATTACAATTTTTTCACTAAAAATGTTTCTTTAAAGACTTCCTAAGATAAATACTTACACTTGCATCAGTCTGTCTAGTCCAGCACCACCTGAATTTGAGACATCTCCTAAGATATTGTTTAAACTATAAATGAAGAAAAAAAAATTATAAAAAAAAAAATTAAAGTTAATTAAGTAACTTAATAGTACTAACACTGAAGATACTTCTGGGTCACTCATTAATCGTGCAGCGGTTTCCATTAAATTTGGAGGTTGTGTATTGGCATCATTGTTATTTTGTTGCTGATTTCCTTGTAAATTATTTAGTGTCAATTGATAATTTCTTTGATACCCAACATTATCTGGATCTAACTCCATTGCTTTTTTATAACACGAGGCAGCTTTTTGAAAATTTTTCATATGAGAGTAGGCAAGTCTTTATTAAAAATAACATTACTATTACTACTAATCTAATAATTTTTTGATTATAATATTGTTTTTAAACTTTCTCATTATATTTTTTAAATTCTTGGAGAAAATCATTAAGTGCAAAAATATTTCTTAAGACTACTTTAATCTCATTATTAGGTCTCAGGATATGAAGTATTTATAAAGTTTATTTTAGATGTCCAAAGTACATTAATGATAAATAGATATTCATGTATATTTTTCTTAATACCAAAAATTGTATATTAATTAGGATTTTACTTATGAGAGGTGTGGGTTATCATCCCTCTAATACAAAAAATATTCCTATACTATAAACACCTATGATAAATTTTCAAGTAGTTTAGTGCCTGGGAAATGCTCAAATAAATTTTGAAAATTCTTTAAGTTCTAAACTTTACTTATGGTGTACTTAAGAAAAATTGTTTTTTTTTTAAACAACAATATATTTAAAGAAAATTGATTAACGACGGATATACACTGAATGTTATAGGTTTATTTATAAAATATAATTTAAATTATATTTCATCAATTAATTAAGGATTATTAAATTATAAATTTAATGTTTTATTCAATAAAAGAGAATACAGTTTGGCAGCTAAGTAATTAAAAAGAAGATTCCTATCTTATTTAACATTCTCTCATAATTCCAGTATACATACATACATATATGTTTGTATACATATATATACTTTAAACACTATTGATTATTAGATGGACTATTTTACATTTAATCATTATGTAAATTTTTATAATTAATTTAAAAAAATTATTAAAAGATAATTAAATTTAATATTTATTTAAATAAAAATATATAATTAATTAGTATATGTACCCTAGACGACAATATGCTTTACTGTAAGAAGAATCCAGCTCTATAGCTTTTTGACAGTCCATAATGGCATCTTGGTATTTACCTAATGCATTATATGCAGCAGCTCTATTACAATAAAATATAGGGTTTGTGGGATCTAATGTCACTGATCTGAAATCATATAATGTTTTAATTAACTTAATAGTCATTTTAGCTAAATTTTATCAAATTAAATACTAAAAAAAAGTATAGATCGACCTTATTCCGATTGAAACCTGTAAAGATTTAGACTAAACCAAGTTTTAGAATAATAAACCCTAAATATACAATATTAAAAAAAAAAAAAAATTAAGTAGAATTAGTAATCATTTGAACAAGGTCTGATGTTCCAATACAAACTACAATTAAATATTGAGTTGATATAATTGAGACAAAACAAATTTACTACATTAATAATTTTCAAAAATGGGAATTATATATCAAAATATTCATGATCTCATTGTGCAAACATTTCCAATCCTATTATTCATTTAACATAATTTATTTTACCCAAAATTGATTTAATTGAAACCAATAAAATTAGAGTTAGCAGTAAAAATAATAAATTATACATAATCCCAATTGATTATAATTATAATAAATAATAATTTTTTTATTATAATAAAACTGAGGCATCACAAGTCATTGGTAATTATTACTTGTAGTATCTCTTTTTAAAAATTATAATAAATATGTTAATATATCATAATCAAATTTCATATGTATTAATTACTATTAGATAAAGATTGTTTGATTGACAAAGATTAAAGGAATTTTCAGTTTTTTACTATAGACACGTATTAATGTAATTAGTCAAGTGATTTATACCTTTTTTAAAATCTAATACAGATCTAAGTAAACATAAAATAGCATTATATATATTTTATAGACTAATAATTATATAAGTATATAACAATAACATTTTTGTAGCTCATATTTGAAAGCTGGTATTTCACAAAAATAGGTCTTTGAAGTTTAATATATGTATAAAGGTTAATGTTATTTGTTATGAGCCAAAAATATATACGATTGAACTTTATCAGGAAGGTTTGTTGAGATGTGATATTGTGATCATTAGTTATTTAATATTTTTTATTTAACTATGATATTCTATAAACAGACCTCTAGTATATTATTTATATTACTTTGAATATTAAAAGTTACCTAATAAAACGAAATTCAGAGTTTTAATATTTATACCAAGTTAAAATACAATCCAAATAACACATTTTAAATTACTTTAATGTTTTAAAACTAATTAAAGTTCAGTTATTTACTTGGAGTATTCTTCCACTGCTTTTTCATGATTTTGATTTTTCATAAACTCATTTCCACAATTTTTATGGTGTTCAGCCGTTTTATATTTACTGTCATCATTTACTTCAGAAAAATTCAAGTTAGAAGTCTATGGATAAATATATAAAGTTATCAATAGGTATTATGAGTATGATTTTGAAGAATTATAAATTATGAGTTACACTAATGAATCCTAATGAAAAATGGGAATAAATGCATTTTACCTCCCTATTAAAATTTATCAAACATTTTTTTTTAATCAATCTAGTTTTCCATTTTGATTAAGAATATATAAAAAATTTTTTTGTCAGAAAAGCATAGTTTAGAAGCTTTTAAAGTTTTCAACTGTCATGATTAATTTTTGTTATATTTGGTTATTATTTTTTGATAATTTTCTTTAATTCACGGGTAGGAGTAATCAATCTTCAGTGATGTAGTCACAGATTTTTATTAAATTTGTCATTCAATTTTGCACCACACATTTCAAATTATCACCGAGTTGGTAACACATACCTATGTAGCGCCAGATATATCAGGTTCAATCTTAAATCATGATATACTTTTACACATTCATAATAATTTTAGTTTGTCGACTTATCAACTTTGAAAAGCTGTAACTTTTGAATCAATCTGTTTCAGAAGTTTTTTTAAAAAAACTCAATGGGATGGTAAATTGCATTTGTTCCAAAAAAAGTTATGATAAGGCCACATTTGAAAAATACTGTTATTAAACCAAAACTTTCTAAACATTTTATACTTTAAAATATTTAAAAATATTTACCTCCTTTTTTACATTTGCATCACTATAAAAGTACTCTTTGACTATATCTTCCAATTTTTTTTCAATATTATCAGACTCAGCTGGATTTATATTATATGCTGATTCTATACATTGTACAGAGACCTCTAAACTTTCTAAAGCTTCACTAGAAAACTCTCCTGAATTGAGTTGATTTTTTAAATGGTTTACAATCAATACAGCCAACTTTTTTTTATCCTCCATCTGAAATCACAAATAGATTTTTTTAAATATCTTCCTAAAAAATGTTAAAATATTGGTAAATCTTTGAAAATTTGGCGTATCATTCAATTATCTTTATTTAACATCTAAAATTAAAATTATAACCAGCGAAATGGGCAAATTAATAAAAAATTCTAAATATTACAAAAATTTTAAATAAGCCAAGTTTTTTATGAAAGCACCAATCCTATATTAAAAAAGTTTCAGATAAAAGTAAATGTAATAACTTAATTATGTTAGTTCAAGCTTGGTTTAGTTCTTACCTCACTAAAAACAAATTATTATTTATTATATTAATTGAGTATATTGTCACTGACTAACTGATAGGGTTTGTAGTTGAACAATAATAAGTTATTATCAATTAAATGGTTAATTAAATGTATATAAATAAAACTAATATATTTAATTTTAATACTTGAAAATATCAGAACTATCGATGTCAATCATTAGAATAATTATGTTTAAAACTAAAGAACATACCAGTTACGCTTACATATAATAATTTTCAGATAACAAAAAGGAAATCGACAAGCATAAATCCACGTATGTTACAAAAATGATAACAATTGTCAATGCTTACCTTCTTTATCATATTATTCTTATCAAGCTTCATCTGTAAACACTGCTAATGCACATGGCAAGTTTTCAGTCCAAATTAAATAATAGCCATTTACGAAATAATTGTTATTTGTATTATGAACATTAATTTTTCTCAGGTAAAATATCTATCGACAGTAATATTAACTTAACTATTAAATAATTTTTTTTGGTGAAAATATTTGTATTAGATATTCTTATTTAATTACATACAAAGAAGTATTTGTTTCTATTGTAAGTAATAATTTTTTTTTTATGTTCTTACATTATTATTTGTTACTATAAATATTATGTTATTAATGTTCCAGTATATATATTCGCTAAATTTTAAGTAGGGATTATTAAAAAATATAAGAATAAACTAATTTGATTATTGACATTTAAATTTAAAATGTTTAGGTTTTAATTTTCAGTAAACATTTCTGTACTATTATGATTAATTTTAAATTGAATTTTATTATGGCAATTTGAAATTATTCATCATATTTCAAATTTATAGTAAACATTTTGCTGTGTTAAAAGACAATATGTATAGTTATACTATTTCATCTGTTCTAATGAATACCAAATGTCTATTGAAAAATTCTATTGATGTAAAAACATTTTTTTGGCATGTAGACATGTCTGAATTTTTATTACCAATATGATCAAAGAGTGATTTATGTGTTAAAATACAAAGGTTGAATTTTTGACCAGCTAAATTTTTTGGGGTGACTAGAAACTGACTAGATTTTTAAAAGTCAAATAGTCATCAAACTCTATAAAAATAAAAAATAAATTAGTAACTTAATTATCAGTCTTCTTTTATTTAAAATTTAGGTTGGACAAGTTAGTCGTATTTCAAAATTGTGATATTTAGTTAGATTAAAAAAAATAAAGTTTAGTTTTAATTAATAAGTTACTGAGATTTAATAGTAAAATCAACTAATAGTTACTTTAAATAGTAGTAATAACTATTTAACTTACATTAAGTTAGCGATTAGACATTTTTGCTGTCCATATATGAGGTATTTTTTTTATTTGAAAGAAAGAATATATTCCAACTATCATCAAAAGTACGATAAAGAATTTTATTTTATAATATTACTAAAAAACTTATTACATAATCCTGTTATTACTGTTCATAACACGACTGTCCAATACCTTCACACAGAGAAAAATTCATATATTTGCTTCAATACGAAGCTGAGAAGGTATTAATTTTACCACAATGTGTTTATTTAATTATTTTTATTATTATATTTTAAATGTTTCAAGAAATTTTATTTTATTTCAGTACTATACTAAATAGTCTATTAAACACAGTTAATTAGCACTAATTTAACTTATTAATAATAAAACTGAAGTTCTTTAAGAACTTATTAAAGCTTAACTTAAACCCTAAATACATACTAAGTATGTATTTAGTGTTGATAATGGTAAAATTATTTCCAAAAAATGTATCCGCAATTTTTTTGAGTTTTCAATTAATAATATTTTAGCTTCAATGGATAGCTGGGAAGATATTACTTTTACTATGATGTGTTTTTATTATTTTTTTTTTTTTGTGCCTATTACCACTTTTTCTCAGCTCTAACCAAACCGATTTATTTTAACGATACGTCAAAAGAACACAAATTGTATCTAGTCGAAGATATTACACTCAAAAATTGAAAAAATTTCCCTCGTTCCCCATAAATGAGGAAATTCTCCAAAAAAATTACAAATTTTAAAAAAACGCTAATTTTTTCAATTTTTTTTACTTAAAACAGCCATAACATTTTCAAAAATTACCAATAAATATAATTTTTTTTAGCTTCGATGATATTGATTTTACTATAATGTGTTATTTTTTTTTGTGCGTCTGTTACCACTTTTTCTCTGCTCTCATTAAACCAGTATCTTTCAACGATATTAAAATGACAAATTTTTCACAACAAATTAACTTGTTCATAATAACTTTTGAATGTTTGACACTTTTATATATATCTTAAATTAAAGCTAATGTAATTTACTTTATCATGAAAAAAAAAAATTTCCGACTTTATTTTATCTTCATGGTGAAAATGGCTACCGAATGCTATTATTGTGTGAAAATTCTCGATTTTATTTTTTACATTTTTAACATTATAATGCTATAACTTTTTGAAAAATGTATGGATCAGTACAATTTTTTTATGGGAAATACTATTTTCTAATAATCTCTTTTTTATTCGACATACTTTGTCTTAATCAGGATATTAATAAGGAACAAGCAGTTTATGAAGCTTTTGGAATAATCCACCAATTTTTTAAAATTAAACACTATCTAAAGATTTGCATCGAAGCGTTTTTTTTTATAGTAATTTTAATCACTGTCAGATATCATTATACTTGATCCAACTATGCCACGTCACCACTGTGCCGCAACTAATGTAATGTACTTTATTATATAAAAAAAAAAATTCGGACTTAATTTTGTCTTAATGGTGAAAATGGCTACCGTATTTTATTTTTGTGTTAAAATTTTCGATTTTATATTTATATTTCTATAACTTTTCGAAAAATGTATAGATCAATACAATTTTTTTATGAGAAATAACATTTATATTCCTCTTTCATTCAACTTTCCTTTTTTTTATATCGGACCATTTTCCTTTATACAGGAGGGGTTCAACACTTAAAAATGCATATAGAAAGTAGAATTTTTTTAACTTAACTTTTGAAAGTGTTCCGGAAATGCTGACACTTATATATATATATATATATATATATATATCTTAAATTAAAGCTAATGTAATATACTTTATTATGGAAAATAAAAATTTCGGACTTTATTTTGTTTTCATGATGAAAACAGACATCAAAGTTAATAAAAAAAATACGATTTTTGTAAAAAAATTGGTTTTTATATTTTTAACTTTATAATGCTATAACTTTTTAAAAAAATGTATGGATTATTATAATTTTTTTAAATTGGACTATTTTCCTTTATATATTTATACTTTATATATATTACACTTAAAAATCATAAATTTGATCACAATATAAATAAGGAAATAGTAGATCATGTTGCTTTTGGAATAATCCACAAATTTTTTTAATTAAATACTATCTACAGATTTGCATCAAAGCGTTTTCTATGATAGTGATTTTAATCACTGTCAGATATCATCTATACTGAACCAAACTATACAACGTTCTCACTGTGCCATGTCCTCACTGTGCTGGGTTTTTTTAGTTTTAAATTAATAATATTTTTATATTTAGTAAATTATGGCTATCAAACGATTATCGACAAAAGATATAAACCACAAAGAAAAAATGCTCAAGGTTGACCATGAACTTACCACTGATTATACGGAAGTATTAACTTGTGGTGATATTGAATTTGTTGAATCAGGAAATGATAATCATCTTTCAGAAGATGAAAAGAAAGCAGTAAAAAAAGATAATAACCAGCCAAATGACAAATTACAAGTATCAAAAAATAAGATCAAAGGTGTTAAGGAGAGCAAAATAAAAAATCCTAAAGGAAAACTAAATAATACTAAAGGTAACTTAAAAAATTTAATAGAAAAATATGATGAATTTATGAGTAAGTATATTTTTTTTTATAGACAAACCTACAGAAAAACCAAATTGGAAAGAGTTCAAAAAAGAAAAGCAAGAATTACGAGTAAAACGCAAACAACAAAAATGTCCATTTTATGAAACTATTATAAAAGCTAAGCAACATTGGGAAAATGTTCGTAGGGATGATTGTCCAAAAGACAAGAAAGAAACATTACTGAAGGAACTTCTTAAATTTTCTAAACCTCATTTAGAACCTGTAATTTTTTAATCATTTATAATAGTGTTAATATTAGTTAGAATAATAGTAAAAACTTAAAAAAAATTTTAGATGGTTTATTCTCATGATACATCACGTATTGTTCAGTGGATGATAAAATTGGGAACTCCAGAAATTCGAACTGTAGTAATAAATGAATTGCTTAAGCATGTGCCAAAAATGTTACTGTCCAAGTATGCTTCTTTATGTGTAAAAAATATGTTTAAACAAGGAAATGCTGAACAACGAAAGCTCATGATAAATTCTGTAAAAGGCAAAGTTTATGCACTAACTTTGCGCACTGTAAGTATTTTTTAATAATTAGAAGTTTACATGTATATATTAATAAAAATTAAAATATATTAAAATTATGATGGTCTGTTAAAGCTTTATACTTAGATTTTCTTGCATTTCAACATTTTGTATAACTTCTAATATAAAAATAGTAGTTTCTAGCCTCTTCTTTAAACTGCATTTGATAATGAGTTATATTGTGAACCCTGTAAGGTGATGCGGAGTAATTTAAAATGTATTTTGTAAGTGTTCACAAACACAAATTCGTGCTTCACTAATTCCAGATTAGTGTAAATAAATAGTTTTGGTGTTAGAGCTATTAAAATAAATATACATAAATTATTTGTTTGAGTCAATGAATAAAGAAATAGTATTTTGTTTTATTTTTAAGTCTATTAATCACATTTTATAGTTACAATGCTTAATTCTTAAAAATTAGATATTTTATAATTTAATATGTTTTTTCTATAGGCATTTGTAAATATGAATCTTTATTTTTATAGTAATTTATTATTAACCAAAATATGTATTAATATAATTGAGTATAGTAGAGATACTCAGCTTAAGTTTGATTTTTTAATTGTTTAAAAATAAATAGTTATATTTCATAACTATTAAATCTAATGGGTCAATAACTATCAAGCACTTAGTGAACATTTTACATTAGGATTAATTTTATATCATACAAATTTTACTGGCATTTGAACTTAATACAAAATTATTTATTCACTGTTTATATTTTAGAATGCTGCAAAAATAATGGATCTAATTTATACAACATATGCTACACCTGAACAACAAAACTCAATGATGCATGAATTATATGGCGCCTCAAATATTTTGTGTGAATCTACCAATGTTCAGTCATTTTCTGATATTTTAAAAAATTCTCCAAATACTAAGGATATTATACTAGCCAAAACAAAAGATCACATAAAAAAATTTGTTTTAAAGTAATTTAAATTATAAATCTTAAATATAATAATCATGATTGTGAATGTTTTATAATCATAAAATCTTAAATTTTGTTTTTAGGCAAAAAAACTCTATGCAAACTACATTGGTTCATAACTTAATTTATGAGTATTTGTTGTATGTTGGTGTAAAAGAATGTGGAGAAATTTTTTCATCACTCAGAGAATTTCCATTTGAACATTTTTATACTTCGAAAAGTGGTTGTCATATTGCAATGTATCTTCTTTGGACATCGTCTCCGAAAGTATTAAAATTAATAATTTATGTAGACAATATAAATTAATTATATTCTAATTTACAATTTAGGAAAAAAAAGCTATATTGAAGCATATAAAGTCAACTGGGGCTATCCTTGATTTAGCAACAATGGAATATGGTCACCTTATATTGTTAGCATTATTTGACTCTGTTGATGATACTGTACTCGTTAAAAAAGTAAACTTTTTTATGGCTTAAAATATTTATAAAAAATAATTTTAACAAAATATTTAATAATAATTGTTTATTGTACTTAAATAAAAAATGTTTTCAAATTCTTTAGACAATTATTCCAGAAATTCTCAATAATATTGATAATATTGCTACTAATGAGTATGGTCGTCGTGTTATTTTATACCTAGTTTCATGGAGAGACTCATCATATTTCCACCCAAATGATATTGAGCAATTAAAAAAAGGAGATTCAATAAAAGATTGGTAAGAGACTATTTTTAAGTTGAACTTAAATTTTATTTATTATATCGGGAACCCCAAAATAAATTACTTTATTATTAAAAACTTGTGTGAACATTTTTGTTGTAATTATTGTATTGTTTTATAAAAAGTAAAAAAGAGGATGAAGTACGTGTTAAAGAATTATTAAATGCAGTGTCTGAACGTTTGTTAAAACATGTGCAAGAAACTCCTTCGTTTTGGTTAAACAATGGATCAATAGCAATGGTATTGCTTGGAATATTGAAGTCAGGAAATGGTAATTAATTTTTAGTTAATTTACTCAAATTAAAAAATTTAATTAAATTTGGTAACAATATTTGGTCTATTCTTCCTACTTATTATGGAATTTGACTACAAAACTAATTACTAATATATTCTAGTATAATCAAGTTAAAATAGTCATGCATATCATTGCTTAAGATGCAATACCTCATATCTCACTTTTTCTAACTTTTCAGGAGTGCAAAAAAACTGGTCTTTTATTGGTATATTTTAGTTAGCGGCTAATATGTTTTTCAGATTTTTGACAAATAAATATTTTTTTTATCAGTCTGTCATCAATTGATATACCTTAAAATTTAAAACAAGATAGTGATGTTAACTCAATTTGGTCAAAAAATAAAATTTGAGGTGTTATATCTTTGGCAATGATATAATGTTAAAAGTATTGTTCTCTATTAAATATGATTCATTATTAAAATATCCTAAAAGTAACCTATTCGAAATCAGTTTGCATAAATATTTATTTAGTCAAAAGAGGGAAATTGTTGGACATTTACTAAAAATATCTAGTTAAAACAAGTTGCAATTGATAGTACTATAATTAAAAAATATTTTAAATTACTTAAATACTGTAGTATTATGATTCTATAACTTATATTTAATATCTTAATAGATTTTAAAAGCAGATCTCAATAATCTGGCTTGGTGATAATCCAGAACTTTTTTTTTGAATTGGAACCGCCTCACCAATATTGTTGTATAGACTAAAAATTGTTTAAAGTAAAACACATGATTTAAATAACTTTTATATTGTATTGTTGCATATTTAATCTATTAAATTATTAGAGATTAGTGTACTAATCTCTAGAAAAAAAATGGTCTTATAAGAACACAATTCTTAATAATCAAAAAAACAATAAAAAGATTCTAAAATTTACCAACACACTACTGAGTCAAGTTCAAGGAACAACTCTAAAGTCAGTTGAATTTCAACATGTTCAAGTTGCATAATACACATAGTTTCTTCAAGAATATTCTAAACATACGTTACTCTCTGATGATATTATTTAACAAAAAAAATCAGTTTTTCTATAGAAAAATTTATAATAATGAATATTTTAAATCTAGTTTAGACTAAATTAACAATTAAAAAAAAAGTTTTGGAATTTGATTTTTAAGTGTAATTGGGTTAATTGATAATATCGCTAATTTGTCTTCATTCCAAGAAAATTTTTTACAAACTGTTTAAGAACTACGATTATTAATTATAGATTATATTGCTGACAAAAGTGGTTTATTCTGGAGGTTATTGCCTAATAAAACGTATGTTCACCAACCTAAACTGTTAGTCCCATATAGAAAAAGGGTCATAAGAATGATTTCTTGGTTCATTAGATAAAAATATTTAACTTTTAACAAACGATAAATTAGTAAATGAAATATACAAAGAGACAGCTAGAAAATGTCACAATACATCTGTAAAATACTGTTAAACATTCTGATGCAATTAATGTGCTGTATGCCTTTACAAAATAAGCGGAGGAGAATAATATGCAAAACGCAGAACTTTTGATGCTAAAAAAATTACAGAAAGAAGTTTTAGAAAAAATATCATATTAACAAAAAAAAACAGAAACTATAGCTGATTTTTTCAAAATGTAGTTTATTATGTTTTTTTTTTTATTTTTAATAAATTAATATCATTTATACTCTTCCTTCTGCATAAGTATAAAAATATTTATAAATTTTGAAATATTGGTTCAAAATTTCTAATCAACTACTGATTTTCATAATTAAATCATTTTTTTATTTTATAAGCTTAGTCATGTATGTTGCCATTCGAAAAAATAAAGTTAACATCTCTATAAATTACATGATATAATCCTAAAAAGTAATTAATAGCTGATAAATCAAGAAGTTTATTTAACAAAAAATTTTTCTTCAATATGATATTTATTTTGTGAATAATTTAGCGGTTTATGTTAATCCGATTACTTTGTATAATTATAAAATCATAAATTTAACTTTCTCGAATAAAATAGTTTTTATATTATTATGTAAATTACATATAACATCTGTTAATCCTGCATTACTGTGGTCACATATACTGCTGTGCTATTGAGATTTGCCTCCATAATGATAGATATAATATGTATAAAATGTATAGATACAATATCTGTCATTATAAGATAAATTTTATTACTGCATATTTAGAAGCTTCTAATTATATGTAAAAAAAAATTTATAATTTGTGTTACAGGTACTTGTACACTATTCATTTATTTGATTTATGAAATTATTACCCAACAATCCCATAGACACACTTAATATAGCTAAGCATTTAATTGTAAAATTTAATTTTAAAAACTACAATAAAAGAAATATCTAAATTGTACTTCATAATCATAATGGTTTTAAAATTTTTTTTTGCTTATGTTTATTTATTATTTTATTTTACAGGAGAAACATTGGAAGCTGCAATGAAAACAGTAGCTGATTACATTGTTGATCCCAATAATCAAATTACTGATAAAGATAAACAAGTCCCAGTGTATGAGCATGCTGGTCTTCATATGATGTTAAGGAAACTAATAGGACATGATCAAGTATTGGCGGATAGTGAGAAATGTAAGCTGTTGCTATTTTTAAATTGAAATAGTTTATTATACTTAGATATTTATAGTGATATTCATTATTTTTTCAAGAAATCAAAACAATTTTTTTTACATAAAAAAAAATGAAAAAATGAATATTAGTTTATTAGTATTTTAAGCATTTTCTTTCAAAAACTCTTAGCTTTCTCTATCTTTTATATATCAATTTAAAGATCTCAACTTTATGGATTACTTTCAGGGAATGCAGCAAATAAATTTAATATTGTTTAATTTATAAAGTATTAGCAGAAATTTATAAATACCCTCTCAATTATAAGGAAATTTAATTCTGATATTTTTTAACACAAAATTCAAATACCATTTTTTAAAATTGATTATTTTTTTAGCTTCATTTTCAGAAATATTGTCATTAGCTCTTACTCAAGAAACTCTTAAAACTTGGATGCAATGTAATCGTGCTTGTTTCCTAATTGTTAGGTATGTTTGTTTAATATTTTATTTCTAATAATAGTGAAATTTAATTATTATTCTTTTATATAGTTTATTGGAATCCAAAGTAAATTCAGCAATAAAAAACATAAAAACTCTCATGAAAACAGATATAATGAAATTATTGAATTCGCAACATTTTTCTGGTGCTAAAGTCTTAATTACAAAAATGAAATCTAAAGATTAATATTAGTTTCACTTTGCATAATTTAATAAATGTATTATAATTTAAAATACTTCTGTTCACTGTGTAATATTTATTATTATAAAATTTATAATAGCAAATATTTAATATTGTTTATAAAGATCATTTTTAAGTATAAAAAATATTAAGTGACAATTTGTTGATTTTATTTTGTAATTTGTACAATTGTGATCAGTTTTTAATATTATTTGAAATAAATGACCGATTATATTTAAAAACATTTTATTGACAATAAATTGCAATGAAATATCTAAATTATAGATTTAATAAATATTTCTTTTGAATAAAATTAATTCAAATTTGTATTGAAAGCAATCATGCATGTCTTTAACACAATTTTTCTTAATATTCTACATACTTATCTACTCCATACAATTAGTTAAATTTATAAACAAACAAATTTAACATAAATTCAATCTTAACTTTTAATTATTAGTTAGATTCATACATCTAAACAATCATTCTCATAAGCATTATTTCAATACATAATATCAAAATAAGGTGGTAATTGAACAGTAAATAGCGAGATTTTTAACACATAGTTTAAAACATATCCTCTAGTAGGTTTACATACGTTTCACACGCTAATGGAAAATAAAATTCTAGCAATTTTTAAAATATAAATGATGTATCATAAAAAATATATTCTTATAAAACATTCTTTATGTATACAAATTATATATTTGTTGTGCAAATCATAAACAAAAGCTTCATGCACTCTCTGGAACCAATGTACATGCATATTTTGTGGTGATATAATAAACAAATTAGAATGTAGATGTTCATTTATATAGAAAGCTTTCGTCTTTTATTTTGTGAAATTTTGATTAAGTAGGGTTTTTGGTAATGTGTAGTCTAGTGGTAAATTTTAATCAGGTGTTAATTTATTTTTTATGGCTTATAGATAAATTAAAAAATTGTTGTAATAACATCAGTGAAACTATTGCCTTGTCGTCACGTTATATGTCATGAATGTTCCAAAAATCATAAAAGATATTTTAAACGACACTATTATCAATAATACCAATTTGAATACAAAAAAAAAATGACTTAGATAATGGAATATATACAAAGCCTCGGTAGTTAAAGTTTGATGATTAATTTTATAAAATTGAATAAAAACATATACTTATACTCATAAACATATACTTGGTTTTAAGTTAAGACTAGAAACTTAATTGAAAGAAGAATAAAGGACATATATTTCGTTGGAAAGGAAAATATTTAGGTGGTGTAAATATTATATAATTTTCATTTTATAGGGGTAGACAATTTTTTTCATGTAATTGATATAAATCTTTTAATTTTCATTCAGAAAAATGTTTTGTGTTAGCGATAGAGACTTAGAGTCAAATATTGTCAATAATATTTAACTAAATAGCAAAATTATAGTTTTTCTATAGTAGTAGATTATTAGTAATAAAATCATAGTAGCAAAACCAGAGCCGCATTCCGGTAAGTCATTTTAGACATACAACTACATGAAAAGGGTTAAGATAGGATCCGGTAAGTTTTGGTCAGACTAATTGATCTCCTTCGCAGTAGTCCAACATGACACTTTGTATTAACAGCTGTTAAAAAATAATATGGCCGCTATAAATTGACGAGCAATCTGGTATGATTTAATAGAAATAACGAAACAAATATAACACGGCTGTTTGACTAAATTTCAATAATATGATATTTTAATAGAGACTGTATAGTGCAGTTAATACCTTAATAACTATTTGTAACTGAAATTAATCTGCATTAGTTGCTACTAATCTTTGGGATAAGTGACTGCTGAAGAATTTTAGGGATACTACGCTTTCCAACTATGACTGGTCACAAAAGGCGATCATATTGAACTATAAAAAAACCATTCTCAATCAATAATGCCTTACATTTAAAATAATTATAATAAATTTAAGCTGAATTTTAGTGGCATAACCAAAAAATATATTCTGGGGGAAATTATTACCTTTTTTTTTTGTGTACTTCAAACATTTTTTACTCTACGTCGCTATTTAAGAATAATCGTATAAGTCAAGTAAAAAACACTGCAATGTTTAAGGTACCATATCGTAGAGTCCTCTTTGTATTAGTCCATCAAAAATGTGACATAACGTAAAAGTATTCCTTTTAAATAAATATAATCTCTTGTATTATTTTATGTAATTACAAAAATTTTATTAAACAAAATTAATATGTTTTGGATATTTCAAGAAATGTATTGTAACTTATATCAGAATAATAATTAGTTATAGTAAATAAAATTTCATTTTTAAGTAGAGACTATGGTATTGTAGTGGAAGCTGAATCTGTCTAATCAACTAGAAAATTAGCTCAGACTAATGTTTCCTATTCAAGGGTATTAACATGTATAATAAAGAACTATTTAATTTGTATTTATTTCAATTAATTTTAATTAAAACACAGACCCAGCTTTGATTTCTTATTAAATTTAAAATTAAGTATAAATATATATTTTACATTGAAGACACTTTCTACGAATAAGTAAATTTTAAGTAAATAAATAAGTTCATTGAAGAAAATTATAACTTCGGTTATAAATTTCAACAACTTTTAAAAATATATATTTATTATATCTTATTTTTCCTGATTTAAATCTAATTGAATCGTTTAAATTCTTTGTATTTAACAAATGATGTTATAAGATCTTCTTGTATTTTCAAAAGACCGCCAATCTTTAAAAAATGATTAAAAGGTGTTTTCGTCTACCAGGTGGCATTTTTTTTTTCTATTTAAGTTATAATCCTTTATTTTTGCATTGAACCCATTCGGCAATAGGCGTATACAGCGTTTTAAAAAATGAACCGTCTGCAAAACGAACAATAAAAAATCAAGTAAAACTCAATATCCTCGATTAATAGACATTGAACTCTTTAGAGGTGTTCACCTTATGCTGTTATCATCACTTTCGATATTTTATTATTGTTTTGTCGATGGCCAGATGTTCTTATGCGGTGTATGGACCACCAGTTTTTGCCTAAAACTGTTCCTACAAAAACCCTTTAAGGAAAAAGCGGTGCGTTGTGTTATTGCAAGTACAAGAACATCATGTAAAAGCGACTGAACGTGTAGGAGTCAGGTAGCTGGTTCCCATGGCTCACGACCGGGTGTTTCTACGTATGTATACCCGCCCAGCAACTGCGTCTCCACGGTTTTTCATTCCAAATATTTTTCGCGTATCCAATGTAGAACGAGGTCAGATTACTGATTGAACCTTTAAAAAACGATTAAAAATCGTTTTGGTTAAAAATAATTACAGTTTTGTAAAACATTTGAAAACATTACTCTTTCATTCTCATGCACTTCGTTTTAGAATTTTTCACAATTCAGTTTAAAGCACTAAAATGTAATACTAAATAATGTAATAGGTAAAATCGTTAGACGTTAATTAATAATTTTATTAATCCATTAAATTTGTGTCGATAATCTTTGACCAAAAAAGTAAATCTTAAAAGATTCGTGACAATGGCGTGTTGTTTAGATTATTTTTCTCCATATTATTACAATGTTCTCCATATATTACAATTTCTCTTTATTTAATAAAATATCTGAGTAATATTATATTATTAATGAAAGTTAAATTAAACAATTAAATCATTAAATAAAAACAAATTAGAGAACATAAACCTTGAGTATTTTGTGTGTTAAATTGGATTTTTTGTGAATTTGACTGTAATTTATAAATATCAGTCGTCGTCGAACAATCTCACGACGATTGGTTACTTATATCTAGTCCCTGTAATTAACTCTACTCTGAAGAAAAAATAACTTATTAATTAAATTAATTTGTGGAAATGTATTTGTCAAATGACATTTTGATGTTGTATTGCAATGTACCGTGTAATTAATTAATGTTTTCGAGTATCATGCGTATGTGCTTTGCATTAACATTTAAGGATTCATATACTGTCACTTAACCAACAATATAATAATAACAGCGATAGTAGTTTGCTGTTTATTGAAATACATACAAGGCTTCACCTGACACCTTCCTTATTGGTCGCGAATTCCCACGGCGCCGCTCAGGTACACAAATACAAAACAGTTTGCACGGGATTTTAACCTTTTCATATAGCCTTAAAAGAGTACATATACGTATCCCGTGAGAACTGTACTACTAGCAAGTAGGGTTTTTTGTCAATAATATGTGCGTGGGACGTAGCACATCAATATCGACGTCGAAAATCTGTATCGTAGGGTTGCTGTATACGCAGAAACAGTGTTTGCTTGTCAATGGCAAAATTATCAAAAAAGGCGGTGCAAAAATAAATAGGTAAACCCTTTCCCGGTTCCGTCGTGATAACCACCTTCCACTATTCCCACACGTTACATCACTTTTAAGTATAAAACATAACAAGACATAATTTTTTCAAACTACCATATAAAATATTTCGGAACACTCAAAAAATTCGTTCTTTCACTACAGTCAATAAATTAAAATTTTATGATAATTAATGTTCAATAGCATTTAAATATTAAGAACCGTTGGGAATGAAAGGTTATGTGTTTCAATACATTGGTCCATTCAGAATTTATTTCGGAATGTAGGCTTTAATCATGATGTGTTTGTGTTATGCTGATCATTTTAAAGAACTAGGCACATAAAAAAAGATTAGCAGAAGCCAAAAGTTGGTTGTCTTACTAAATTACTAAAATTATCTTAAATATTTCCGAGGAGGAAAAATATAAAAATCGGTAGCCTTGCGCACAAAATCAGGTTAGAGGGATAATTTTTGAAGAATTTAAGGAAAAAAAACTAATAAATGTTGAAACTTATAATATTTCAAAATTTAGAATTTATATTAATTCTCTGGGTAATAGAAATTTATAATTGGTGCTCCTATAAAATGTATTTACATCTTTCGGGGTACATTAGAATATCTAATAACCCCCGTCACTACCCAACACAACAAGACAAACTATTAACTTCATGACTATTCTTAATTTTAATGATCTAAATAGTTATAATTTAAATATTTAGTTATTCGAGCCCTAAAAAAATGATGATATCAATTAAGCCACCAAAACATTTTTTATTGCCGTGTTATTTCACGAGATGTATTAATATATTATTTAGAGTAATAATTGGTATAATGAGATAGGAAAAAAATAGTACAATTCACAATGAGATAACTTTTTAAAAAAATATAAAAATCATACTATTAAATCATTCACTCAATTATTTTATTTGTTTTGTTGAATTTATATTAGTATTATGGTGTTAAAAATTATATTTTTTATTTGTTTGTCCATTTATCAGTGTATATTATTTTTTCCCTAACATTTTATTATAAGTAAATTTTTAATTATACCTCACGATAAATCTTAAAAAATCTATTTTTTTTTAAAATAATTATTTAAAATGGTAATTCATTAGTCGTTTATTAAGCACTTTCATGAAGCAAATAACGAATATCTGAATTTATTAGTGATTATTTAATCTTTAGTAATTATTTTAAATCATTCCCAAAATTAATATCAAGTTCTTGCTTGTCAACAAAGGCATAAACTTCATGAATACCACAATGGATATGCAATTAAATTTTATTAAATTTTTCGGTAAAATACTTAAGAATTTATTTAACTATACATTATAAAGAACTTTGAATTAAGAGCCAGAATTAATAACTTAAATGATAGTCAATGAACAAAAATGTGTTGTGATTTTAAACATATTCATATCATAGTAGTCGTTTTCACTAGATATATTTTTTAGGTAAGTAAATTGAATTTTTACATTTAAAATAGAATTAATGCAATAAAGAATTGAATATTCTGTTGGTATAAAATTTATTTTACCACATTATCAAGTTTTTTCAACAAATATTTTTAATCGATTAGTTTTCTATTTTGATTAAGATTATATAAAAAAAATTGTTGGCGATGATCAGTCTAAAAGTGATAAACTTTCAAAATTTTCTATTGTCATACACGATTTTTATTAAGTACAGCTATTTTTTCTTTCATTTTTTAAATTCCTTAGTAAAATGATTCTCAATGATGTCGCCAGTTTTCATGAAGTTATATCGTACAAAAAAAAAAGAAATGTAAAGTCACCTAAATAAGCTAATAGTTTCAAATATTATACGTGATGTTTTTCTTTAGATATTCTATATTTAAATATTTTAGATATGTCATAAAAAATTCTATATTGTTTTTGAAAAAAAGGTTTGGCTTTAAAGTTCAATTTAAAACATATACAACATGTATATTATACATGTATATGTTTTTTTTTATCTTTTTAAGTTATAGTAAAAATAAATGGAATGGTCTTTAAATTTGGCATTAACCAATGGCTTTAAATACAAATTGATATAGGACTCTGTGTTTATTTTTATTTGAAGACATCTAATTTATCAATTTTTTTAAATGGCGACATACTTATTTTACTAGTTCGTACAATAGTATATGTTTTAACTTAAAAAATCACTGGTTGATAGACTGGAGGTGAGATGCAGGTTACATTATCTTTGTCAATACATTTTTCTGCCACACTACTCCTCCTATAAAAATATCCATTACTCCTTAACTATGGTTCAAGTGTAGTTATCAGTTAGTAATTTTTTTAGTTGGATCATTTTCTAAGTATAGACTAGTTAAATATGTTACAAATAAAATAAAATATTTAGTACCCTTAAATAAATAATATTAACGAAATAAAAAAAAATTGTTTAAATTGTTATTATTTTAGGAGAAATTTAGTGGTTAACAATAAATCAATCATTCTGTATATATCTTCATTTCCAGTATTTTATAGTAAGGGATTAAAAAATTATTCACGTTTGTGTTATATAATTTTTCATTAAAAAAAGATTATCATCTTTGTTAGTATGGGTAAAACAAAAATGTAATTTCACCGAAGAGTATTAAAAAAAAATGTAAGTAATATTAGATTTATAGCAACTTGTTAATTCTTCATGTCTTTGAACATATTGACTAGTATAACTGCAAATATCTTTAAATCTAAACTGTTTAGTTTATTAACATTATTATTATTAACTAGCGAAAACTAGATATTGACTATATTAATTTTATATGCAATCTAGAAATAACCAAAACTAAAAAATTATAGCCAGTGTATCATTATTTAACGTATCCGACGTCAAAAACCAGTTATCAACAACTTAAAAAACATACTGATGCTCTTTTTACAATTTATCGTATTTTTTATGAACTGGTAGCTTATATTAATATACAACATGATAATGTTGCAGTGTTTTATAAATAAATAAGCATTAATGCGATTGTCCCAATACATAAAACAGGTGTTACTTATCGAAAGTCTAAAAAAAAAATTAAACAAAACTGTATTTTTCAATTAAATGAAACTGTTGATATAAAAATAAAATTGGGGTTGCAGTTTAACAATTAAAAGTTGATAAGCATTTAGGATAATAGTGATGGTAGCAGAAAATTAATTATTCGTGTAAAGCAGTTCAACAAAGATAAATTATGTTAAAAAATAAATAACATAATAATTAGCTCTAATATTTTAAAATATATTTCTTAAGGCGTAGTAGTTCAGGAATCAACTTGTACGTCCTCACATAACCGAATAACTATTATATATTTTCAGTACCACAAATAAAAAGTTATTAATATTAAGTTAGATAAATATTTTATCTTGATAAAATTTTTATAGGTTAACTTATTAAAAACTCATAATTCCAAAAGTATCATCAACTAGTACTCCCAACATCTCTGGAATTTATATTTCTTGTTACTTTTGAAACATCACATTGAAATGTTTTAAAATCAATCAAGAGCGTTTCATTGCAACTGCCCGTTTTACCACTTTTCAATTACTACTGCCTTGTTTTACAATAACTTCTTAGTGATATATGTATTTTGTTGTCAACAATTATTATTTTAAGAATTATCACAACCATATACTATTATTAGACAATTCATTTTGCATGGTTTCATTGGAGACACGTCCTGGTGATCGGTGTGTGTGTGTTTACATCGTTTTTGTCAGCCGTTTAATGTTATATATGGCCGTCGGATTAGTTAAATTTATTTTCGACATTCGCATGTGAACTTGTATGATATGTCTTAGATTATTGTGTTGCATATTTATTGTATTAAGTATAATTCAAAATGTCTATGACACAACTACTTAAGTGTTCCAAAGTAAGTTCATGCATTATTTACTGACTATAATGTATGAAGGATTACAAATATAAGTTAATTGTTTTTTATGATGGCACTATTCGCAGATATGCAGTGTGTATTGTCAATTATATCCATATCAATAAATATATTTTCTATATTTCCAGTTAGCGTATTTATAAACTCTCAAAAATGTACCTTATTATCATACTTAAGGCATATATGTTAATAAAGTCATAATTGATATTAAATGTTGCGTATCTACGAATAGCGACGTCAAAAAAACAATTAGCTACCTATATTTGTAATCCCTCGTGTATTGTACATGTATATTAACTGAAAATGTTGAAACTTGAAGGTTTTATATCTAATAAACAAATGAAGTTATGTTAAAAATTTAAATGTTATATTTTATTAAAATAAAAATGTATTATCAAATTCAAAATATTTGTTCTCATTTGAAAAAGCAAAGTTGAAAACCTTACAAGACGTATGGGATGAACTTAATAAGTATGAAATAATTCAAGAATAATATGTAACCAGAAAAAAATACTTCAAAATTACGATATAAAAGTCACTCTGTATTGACAACCAATATTGTAAATAAATATTATCATGTTTACTGAATAATTCGATTATTATCTTGATTATTATTTGATATTATTTTCAATTTAATATCATTATTTTTTTTTCATTTCCACTTAGACCAGATCATATAAGAGATAGACGGATTATTAGTGTTTTCATAGAGACTAAAAATTACAGCTTTGTTTTAATTATTGGCTTATTCCACTTATATAGTTAGAAATAAATATATTAAATCTAACAGAAGTTCAGTTTTGTCTTTGGTCTCCCTTTAAGGTATAAGTGTTGAACTTTTTTAAGCTGTTAGACTTGGGAATTTATGGTGATCATTCAAAATAAAAATATTGAATAATGAAATATAAGGTTGGTAATTAGTGTTTTCATATAAATTTTATAACTTTTTATTAGGTTAGAAATAATTAAAACGAAGAAAATATACTATATCTGTATCTTACTTTTAATTGTTTTTGTTTATCTAATAAATTTCAAAAAAACATGGCATCAGCATAGTGAAATTGAAATCTCTACTACAGTAAATGAATGCAAAGCACCAAAAATAAAATAAAAAACCATTAAAGTAGTTCATCTGATGACAGTGATTTTGAAGGTANTGTTTATCTAATAAATTTCAAAAAAACATGGCATCAGCATAGTGAAATTGAAATCTCTATTACAGTAAATGAATGCAAAGCACCAAAAATAAAATAAAAAACCATTAAAGTAGTTCATCTGATGACAGTGATTTTGAAGGTAAACTTATTACTTTTATCATTTCTTTGAAAATAAGATATTTATATATTTTCTATTTAGACTGTAGCTTATCAGTAACACCGATCAGCAAACATGTATGAACAAATTTTACTGAATTATTGACAGAAAAATCTGATGAAGATTTAGAATATGAACTACTATCTTTAACATAATGTACTGTACAAATTAAAGCTAGTTCCTCATCATCATGCATGCCTAATAATGTTATAAATAAGGTAAAACAATAGCCAATTTAAACACAAAAATAATTAAATTATAAATTGAAAACTTAATATATCTATAATCCAGAAATCCATATCTATTATCAGTATTAAATCCAATATTCAGCAATGTTTATATATATTAAATAATTAATAGTTGAATTAATCAAGATAATATTAACAATCAATAACATAAATGTGTGATAAAAATTGAATTTTTTTAAATATAAATAGTAAAATTAAATTTAATATGACTTAACTAATACACTTATATAAAACATACTCAATAAAAATAAAACATAAATTGTGTTGAATAATTTTAAACTACCACTTGACCACTGACAACATTTTTCATTAATAATTTTATTAATTAGATTCTTTAAAATATATTTTTTTATTGAATGATTATTTCATTTTATAAAAATATACTATAATATATAATACAAATAATATAATTGCTATTGATAAGTTTAATCAATATAAAATATGTTCTTAGTTTTTTATTGTAATTTATTGCTAATGAATGTATTTATAAAAATTGGTTTTTAAATAATTATTTTTTATATAATAATATAGATATTATATGTATAATATAACTTTGTTATTCATAAACTTATCATTTCATTATGCCTTTTATTTTTTTAAATAATATTTGGTCTTTAAATCTATTAAAATGAATAAATTGCCATTATTAATAAATTACAATTTATCTATTTTTATAGTCAATATTAAATAAGTAAATATTGAAAATATATATAACATTATTAGGAGCCTTCTATGTTTTTTGTAATTTTTCGGGGAATTTTTTCCGTTTACAGGAAAAGAGGGAAATTTTTTCAATTTCTGAGGCTAATGTCTTCTAAAAAGTAGTGACGGACACAAAACTAAATAAATAAACACAATATGGTAAAATTTTAAAACTTTCGAAATATTGTTAAAAAAATTTTTGTCCACTATTCATTTACTTATAATTGTATCATTTTCTAATGTTTAATCTATTAAAATAAGAATGTCATCATATAAAACTATTAAGTTCGTACCTTTATTAGGGAAAATTAATAATCCTAAAAAAGGTCAACCATTAATTAATTAATAAATGAAGAAAAAAATGTTTAATAACAGTATTATTTTAGAATAAATTTATTGGTCAACAATAAAAGAAACTCTCGGAATAAACTTTGATGTAACGATTTAATTTATGTATAATATGGAAAGCATAATACAATGGAAATATATATTATTAGGCGAATATAAGTTTGAATAATTATAAGTTATAATTAGCTATTAATATAATTTAAACTATAAAAAATGCATGAAACCAGATTTTGTAAATTTTATAAGATTTTATCCTGTAAAATTGAAATTATTAATCTTCAATTGTTAACAAAACATTTTAAACGCGTTATAAAAATAAATGTTCACATAAATATGTGTTAAATAGAAAATAGAATGTTACAACACTTCTTTTAGGTGTTATTGCTTAGAAAATGTAAATTTAGAAGAGTTCAATTACTTTATATAACTAAGAAACGAATAATTTCTATTTTCAATTCATCGTTATTGAATATCTACAATGAGTTTTTTATTGATAGAAATACAATACTTAAAGAACCCGCCCTTTTTATATTTGAAGATTTTCAAATCGTATGGAGACATTGCAAAAAACAGGTTCTAATTTTATCACAATACTTGAAAAAAATCATTTCACTCCCTTGTTTTCGATTTCTATAAATATTACCTGCTAAAAACGATGGCACCGGACATCCTTTCATATTATTTCCTAAGTATCCAGTTTCCTTAAAAAAAAAATTACATTTACAATCCATATGTTCCAACATGTTTTTTTTTTGAAAAATTATTATAATATTTATTTCTCAGTATAATTTTCTCAGAAATATTAAAACTGGATTAATTGTAAAATGTATATAAATTTTGAAGAGTAAATTAAATAGTAGATAAAATTCTAAAAATTTTTTGGTATTAAAACGTAACTTTAATTAAGTACAAAAATGACACAAGGTATTGTTTGTAAAGTAATATATATTTCTGCAATCTATTAAGAATATTATAACGTAGTTAGAGATGAATACATTATGTTTTTGCTTACGTTTAAATAATAATACGAAATTAAAATTTACTGTGCGATTTTTATTAATTATGGCGCTTAATATAAATACATATCATTTGTCTATCTTAAATGATCAAATCATGGTAAATGCTTTATTTTTATAACTGGTGCCTCTTTTTAATGTAAACTATATTTTATCTTGAGAAACTAATATTTGACACACTCATAACAATGTTTTTACTTAATAGTCAAGATAAAAATTTGCTTTTTTCAGTAAAATTATCTATTTTGTGTACTTGGTGAAAACCTGTCTTACTTGTATATCATTTAAACCCAACATACCAAATATTGTACTTCCTGATATAAACGCAGCATATGTTTTACTGAGGTTTAATGAAAGATTCCTTATAAAAAAAAAAATCATGAAAGGTCCCTTAGGTTTTTCATGTCCGATATTTTTTTATTCAACAATAGCTGCGGGTCGAACCGTAGTCAATGAATGTACACACTATCATATTACTCGGTAGATACTTGTAGCGTTTCCCTTTTTATTTATCCAGTATGGTCGTGGGATGAGAATATTTTTTTTACGCATGTTTTTTGTTAAATATTATCAGTAATTTTTTTTTATAATAAACTCATCATTTTTTTCGTATTTACTTAACAATCGGCGGGCAACATTCACAGGGTCCATTTCCGTTCTATACACTTTTACCTTTACTTCATTCTTTTATGTAGTTTTACATATTTTTTAGAATATCCATTATGAATATTATCATTATTATTGTTAACTTTTTTTACGTATAAATATGGCCTATGTAAATTCTTGCTTTTGTGTAACAACCTATTGGAGGTCATCTTTGGCAGCTGTCAATTACAAACTAGAAATATTCAAAAATCCCGTTCAGTTGATGCTCAAGTAACAGTCAGGGTCATTTATTTCACACAGGCTCAATAAACTGTACTGAAATTATGTTGTTCAATATCATACAAGTCGCGAGGAAACGTAAAAACACATCTAATAGTCAATGCATTTAAAAAGGATTTACATAACTGATTTGTTGATTCTTTTTTTTTTTTTTTAAGTCCAAGGTTGTAATGTCATTGTCACCTGTGTATATATATATATATATATATATATAACCATTCTGTATTATGCTTTCACTCTGTACACTGTACTTATAGCATATAATTGTATTTAAAATTCATTTAGAACCTCTCATGAGATTCAGTTGGTTATAGGATATAGGTGTTTACTAGACGGTTATGTAAATAATAACAAGAATTTTTAATAAGCCTATGTAATTTTTCGGAAATATCAGTGAAGTATAAAACAACATGTTAGCTGAATAATATAATAATTATATTATTCAGCTATATATAATATAATATAATACAATTATTGTATTATATTTAGACTAGCCAATAAGACTAGTTAATATCTTATGAATTGTCAATTAATGTCATGATGAAGTCATCTAATGTTTCTTCGTCAAAACATCAATTGACAGTATGTATATCCTCAACATCGTGCGTAATAATTCAAATAACTACAATGAAGTTACTTTATTTTGTTTCCAAATCCCCATCCGGCTGAACAAAAGCCATTCGGTTACATCTTAAAAATGATTTTTGTAACTTATTTAAAAATTTAATACAACACATAGTAATGTTACTTCTATTTATAGTAAAATCTCAATAAAAAACAAAAGGCACGTGCTATGTTTATTTTTTAAGGGTACCGTAAAACAACACGTTTTAATGGAATCACATGATTGTGTAACTTAAAAAATAAAATATGGCAATCACTCGACTGTTAGAAATATATTAATCATACGAAAAATAGTACAATATAAGAAATTACGCAATATGACTTAGAGGGAATAATATTTATAGTTTATTGAATCTCTATAAGGTTATTCGATAAAATAAAAACGAAATATACCAATGAGTATAGCTGATTCCTTACATCATGTTTCTATAATATTTGTATAATTATGTTAAATAAAAAACTTACCGTGTACATCTTTTTTACTTTTATCGATTACTTTATTGATATTTCTATATTATTGACTTGGGAAACAATTCCACTGAAATGAATGCATAATCTCAGTGACATTTTTAACTTTCAAAATTATAGGGCGTTTATTTAATGTATCTTTAAAATAGAAATTTTTCTCCTAACTTCTACTATAACTGTTTACTTATTTCTTTATAATGACACCATTGTTATTTTTTAAAATTATTCTTTAAGTTTCACGAGATCATAAGTCAAATAATTGTAAATTATTTGATAGTCATCGACTTAATATTTTTTATATATATGTTTTTTTTTCTAAAATGAGAGTTAAAAATCACATATCACATTACGATCACCCACACGGCTTGTAATGAAATATTGGCTTAGGTAATGTCAATTTTTATTACCCTATAATATTGTACATGATGGCTGGGTATACAGTAAAAAACAAACCGTGACTCTAACACGAAATTTGTCACTTTTAAAAATGTCTGCATTTCGATAGGGTTCCGATATTTTTTGCTCAACGTTTTGGGACACGCACATACTTATTTATCCGTAGCATAGATAAAAAAAATCAATAGAAAGAAACAGAAACCAAGTGCTACAAAAAATCTTTTTGACTGTAGGTATGATAATAATTTTTTGTCGTTTAAGTTTGTTTTATTGGTCGTAAAGTATAGTGACATAAGAATGTTTTTGAGCAGGCCAATTTTAAAACGAAGCGCTGTAGTTAATTTATTGTGGTTGGCAAAAAAAAAACGAAATCAGTTTAATGGCGTGTTATGCTAAAAAAAAAAAAATACACTTATGTAAACCTTAGGCATGTAACAACTACACAGCGTGTCCCGTAGGACCAATTGGGATGTTTGGTCGTTGAACAAAAAACCCTTTCTATTTTTTTTTTCAAAAAAATCTTAATATACA